GCAATGCCCCAGGGTCATGTGATGACAAACAAAGTCAACAGGGAAGCCAAATTCACTTAACAACCGTGTTACTAAGTTAACAATTGCAGTGATTCAGTTAACAAATGTGACAAGGGAAGTCATAAAATGGGGCAAAACTCACTTAACAAATTTCTCACTTGGCAACATAAATTTTGTGCTCAATTGTGGTCATAAGTCAAGGACTACTTGCACTCTCAATCGTAAGGTTTGAAAAATACTGAGATAAATAAATAGCAAGATTTTGTGAAAAGTGATTGTGTGAAGTCAGAGGCAGGGCAAAATCACAAGACCCTGTGCAAAAAGAAATGGTCTTATTTGGCAATAAATAAATAAAGGAGAGGGCAGAACTGAATTTTAAAAGAGCTCCTTAGTGTGAAAAAAACCAACAACATTCTGAAGGTAACCTGGACCCAATACATAAAAACAGTTATTATTTTATAATATTATTTTATAAAATGAAGTCATAAAACACTCAGTTATTTCTAGAAACAGACTTAAGTTGTCATACATCTGCTGGGAGTGTGGCACAAACATAGCAGGGCCAGAAATATCTCACTTCCAAAGAGGTTCAAACAGAGGAGAACTGAAGGTCAAAAGGTAAGAGATAGTGACTTACTGCTTCAAATAAAAGTGCTATGTGGCCTTCTACTGCTCTTTTCCAAAAGACTGAAAGCTATACCAGGATACACAATATCCAAAACATGCTTAATCTTGGTACAGTTCCACAAGGAACATATCTTAATTTAAAGAGGGATTAAAATCTATGATACTATTAAACACAGCTTCCATCTGATTAAAAAGAGTAAAACAATGTATATTTTTAAAGTAGGATTCAAGATATTTTTCCCTAGATATATATGCCACATTTAAATCTACTAAGCATGACTGAATTTTTTTTCTACCTTTCACAAAGATAATATATTAATTATCCATCAACATTTTTGAGAACATTCATTTTTGCTTTCTTCCACAGAGCATAGTTAAAAGACACAAATGAATTAAGTTAATAGTAATCTACAGAAAAAGCTGGAGACAGGAGCACAGAACCCTCCCTTTAAAGTAAAAATTCATATATGTCATTTAGGAAGACTCTTAAAAAGTTGGTACTAATAGGGACAGTTGCTAGCTTCTCACATTATTGTTAGCCATGCTACCTGAAGTCGATAAAGCACAGCATTCTGCAACACACAATACACTAAGCTTAACTCATGGTTTACAAATGGATAGAATTATATAACATCTTACATCTAAAGAAAATAAAGGTGGCATATAAATTTCAGTTCAGCAGTCAGACTAGATCTATAGCTACAGATGCATAGTCCTTGAAAAAGATTTCCTGAACTTTCACTTCCTAGCTGTAGTTTTCTTCTGTTCCACAAAAAACTTTAATCTCCCTGTCACAGTCACCCTCATATAATAAAATATCTATGAACCGCAGCTAGATTATATCCAACTCAGCACAACTCATTAGGTCAAGCACAAGTAATAGGTCATATTGCTCTTGAAACAGAAGTTTACAAGATCCAAAATAGCTAGTGAAATGGAAGACAAGCATCTATCATTTCCTCTAGAACATATGATTCTCTACTTCTAGCTAGTCTTTCTTCAAAATAATTCCAAATGAAAATCTGTTTTGTGCTTTTTTATGGGACCAGAATAAAGCTTAACAGTAGTTCAAATGAGGTTAGCAAGAACAGCCAGAACAACTGGCAGGTTTGATTAGAATAATACTTTCCTAATTAGAAATTACATTTTCAATTCAGAACAGATTTGCACAGAATCATATACTAAATATACTCTTTATAGTTTAGACATACCTACCATTCTTAGCAAATTATTAGACTTTGCTTAATCTACTGAATATACTTGAGGTGTCAGGGGTGCTTAAATCTGGCCTGGTGCGCTAGCCTGGAAATAGCAAAGGGCTGGCCTGTGGTGCCTCTGGCAGCCAAAATGGGCTTCCAGGGGGGCCGTGTGCACCCCTACCCCATTTCGGTCTGGCCAACCTCTCACACCACTCTTCCAGCCAAAACAGGAACAGGGTCTTGCAGGAGGCATCCATCCCATCTCCCTCCTCCTGTGGCTGGCCCACAGAGAAGTACAATGCCCAGCCCTTTAAGAAATCCAGTTTGACATCCCTGGTGTATACCATAAATAATTATTAACGGACTCTATGTTATAAAATATATTGGTGCTAGAGCTGATGCTGAACGTATTTTATTCAGCTCTGAATTCTGTAAAGAAATCAATTTCTGTACATCATTTAATCCTGTGTAATCAGTATCTGTCCTCTAACAAAAGGATACGAGAAGCGATCATTCCATGTTGCTCTTTCAACATAATCCAGCATAACAACAGCTTTAATAGTTGTGAGAAGCTTGTTCCATGTTTCATCAAAATCAACTACTCGTGGTTTCAAGGACATCGTGGGAAAGTAAAATGAATCTGCAAAAAAATAAATCCAAATTATTAATTATATCTTCTGCAAATATTATATATATTTGAAATACCAATGTTATCTTTTTTTTGGTTAAAATATCTATGTCAAAAACATTCTATATTGCTAGAAAGTCTGGTACTTCCTCTGAACTTTCCTACAGAACTCTACCATTCACTGCCACTAAAAAGTTGCAGTTGAGCTGATGATTTATCCTTATATCATATATTATTACTGCCACCTGAATTACATATCCTAAGCCAGGGTAATGGAACAGAATCTGAAGAGTAGATTGGGTATTCTAAAGGTTTAATTAACACAAATAGCTAAACTACAGCAGGTACTCCTAAATTAACTTTTCTTATCGCCAATTAAAACAAGACAAAAAGGACAAATTGGTGAACCAGTTTTGACATGGGCGGTGATTTGTCATCATCATCAATTCTTTATTGATCAAGTGTGACACACAAGGAATTTGTCTTTGGTGCATGTGTTCTCAGTGTACATAAAAGAAAAGATACATTTGTTAAGAATCATGATAGTCACTGGGTACAAATAAGCAATCAAATCATACTAGGAAACAATCAATATAAATAGTAAGAATACAAGTAACAAAGTTACAGTCATACAGTCAGAAGTGGGAGAAGATGTGTGATAGGAACAATGAGAAGATTAATAGTAATAGTAATGCAGACTAATTTGACAGGATTGAGGGAATCATTTGTTTAGCAGAGTGATGGCATTTGGGGGAAAAACTGTATCATTCGGAGTAATGGTTCGTAAGTAGGGCTGGAGCACTTTTTATAAAAACCATTACATTACTAGAATAAGTACAAGTGACATAATATTTGTATTCATCATGTCAGCAAATTACTTTTCCCACATGCTTTATAACCTGGCTGCCCTTCTATATCACAAACTCTAAACTAGAGCACAATCTCCTGTTATCCTCAGCATTGCGAAAGCAAAGTAAATATCCTCCGTCTGGTTGATATGGCATAAGGCCATCCTCGTGGAGAAAAACGCTATTGGGGGCGAGGGTTTTTGTCTTTGAGATGTACGATTTAAATATAACTTTCTAACTTTTAAGTTCTGGCTAGTATTTAATCGTCATTTTCGCATCCTTTACCCCCCACCAATCGACAATTAAAAAAAACAAAAACAAAAAACCGGAAGAAGTTGGGACACCCCTGAATTGGAAGGCGATTTACCTTATATCTCATCACTGAGATTAAAGGAAATAACACGGTTAAAAACAACAACACTGGATCAGCCGGTTTTGCTTCAGGATCGTGCAAATCTTCTTTTTCAACCCAGTCGTCCCTAGCCCACCCCAATACCCGATGAGGGCAGAAACAAATACACTAGTGTGGACTGGGCGATCCTCTGTGAATTTTCTCCCCTCGTCCACTGACGCACGGATGTGGTGGATGCCTTGCGGGGTTCAGGGCCTGCTCGGTGCCTATTTCCAGCATCCACACCCGGCAGCCTTTAACGCCCTGCCGATTCCAAGGGACTAAAGCCAGCGCGGTTGTCAGGCGAAACACGGGGGTGTTGCACGCGTGTGTCTCGCATACTCACATTGAACACCGACAGCGGGGAAAGGAAGAAGCCAAGCGGTCGGTGATCGGCTAAGGGATGGGGGCGGGAAGAGACTGCTGCCGACCAGCCGTGAACGAGGGAGTTGTCAGTGCAACGAAGACGGCGATAACGGAGAAGAGAAGAGAAGAGGGAAATTAAGAGAGAGTCAGGGAGGCACCGGATCCTCCGGGGAGAGATGAAAGAAGATCCCGCGGAGGGGGGGGGGGTTGAAGGAAGTTCAGAGAAGGAATAGCGTCCCCCCCACTACCACACACGCATACACCACCGTAGCCTCTTCCCTTTTGCTGTTACCTGGCAACAGGAGAGACCTGGGTCGGCGTCGCGTCCCCACGCCCTCGCCACACCGTATGTATCTCACGCGTAGACTTCCAGACCCTTCTCACAGGGTTGCCATTACCCAGCCGCCACGGCTGCCCGTTGAGCCCCGCCCACTAGGCTCCCATTGGCTCAGCGTGAGCCGGGGGCGGGGAGGCGGCAGATGGGTCGAGACCATTTCGCCGCTCTTTCTGGGACGTCCTCCGAAGCCGGAAGGCGGGCGTTTGTTTCCCCAGCCCCCAAAACCCTTTTCTCAGTATGTCAAAGCCGCCCTGTCGGACAGCGCTCCCTGGAACCTAACTCCAATAATAACCTTACCCCTTTCCATCGTTCTTTTTTTACTTTTCCTTCCCTCCCAGGCTGCGGGAGAGTTGGTTTCGCCTCATGTATGGGACACGAGAAGGGCCAAATAAGCACGCCGCAGCCGTTCCTTCACATATGAAGAAATGAAGCTTCCTCCGGCGTAGCGGAGGGGTTGGGTTACGCAGGCGCAGTCAGATTTCAACCTGTGCTGTGGGGTTTCACTGCCTCAGGTGAGTCTCAGGTGAGAGCGCGCTGCTTTCCGGCCAGAAGGAGGGGGTGTGAGTCGACTACTGCTCCGTCTCTCTCTCATCCTTTTCTTTTGAGGGAAGCCTTTGCAGAATAGGTTAAAAATATATATATCTACGGAGAGAAGCAATAGCCCTGTTAAATGCTGCCTCGGTTCCTCGATTTACTATATTTTGCTTTTCCCTCAGGAGCTCAACCACCCGCCTTCAGGTTTCTCCGACAAAAGCCCCCCTTGAGGTGGTCTGAGAATGGACGCGGACATCGGGTCACCGCCCAGTGACCTTCTGCGGCTGAGGGGGGTTGGTGGGTGGCCTTAATCCGGGTCTGTTGAAGGACCATGGAATGCGCCTTATCGGAAACTGCCGGACTCGGACAGCTGATGAACGAGAGGGGGGTGCAACGTAATCGTGGCTCCGATTTCAAGATTGGTTCTTTGGGCTTTTAGCTTTCTACGAACTTCTTCTCCCCCCCCCCCCCCCCCCCGCCCCATCCCAAAGGGTCCTTGCTGAGATTTATCTTCCAAATATCAAAACGTTTGACAAGGCACAGAATCAAATATGATATTGGGAAACCTGTTTTGTTGGAAGCCTGGATAGAGGTGTTTTGAAATTTATGTAAAAAACTATCCCAGAAATCCAAAATTGACAGTTATGATTCCTGTAAATCAAGACCCCAGATATTTTATAATCTGTCCTCTAAATGTCTATGGAGATTCTCAGTCATCTGAGTCATGGTTGTCCCAAAGGTGCTTTTTTTTCCAAGAGCCAACTGTACTTTCTGGGTTTTTCTTTGAAGGTGTTTTGCTTTTCATCCAAGAAGCTGCTTCAGCTCTGACAGAACGGTGGAGAATGGAAGGATTGATATTCCTTGCAGACAGCTGGTCATTTGTATTCTTTTAGAGGGTCACTGAGGAATAAAAATTCTTTCATTCCCCACTATCCTGGATATGAATGGAATGCCTGCATATCCTTATCTTTATGGCTGTACAAAGGACTTACAGAAAATGATTAATAACATATGTTACCACACTGAAGAAGCTTCTTGGATGAGAAGTGAAAGGTCTTCAAAGAAAAAAACCAGAAAGTCCAGTTGCCCCTTGGAAAAAGCACCTTTGGGAAAACTCATCCCCTACTTTTCTTTTCCTTTCACTTTCAACAAATGTAGGAATAGGAAGGCATTAAAGTGAGTGCTAGTTTTTAAACTTTATTAGTTTAGGCCCTGACCTCTCCTGGTTCTAACACTGAGCAATCTGATATGTAAATGTTCCTCAAGATATGAGATTGGCTGTTTCTTGATTCACACAGTTGCCAGTTGCATAGAATGGCCCTGAAGGGATACTATTATAATACTCGGTGATTAGCCCCCAATTGAATGGTTGCTGGAGAGAGAGTGGTAAAGGAGAAATAAACACATAATTTCTAGTGAGAATAGATCTGTCCAAAGTAACCTAAAAGTCTTGTTATTTTCTGGCATCATAAAACGTAATATTTGTGACTTTGTATACTCTTGGTATATCCTGCATAATTTGCTTACAAGGAGATTCTTCAATTTTATTCTTTTCCATTTTACACCTTGCTATTTCCCAGTTGTCTCTCCATGAAGGTACAGCTTTCATAATTTTCTTGAGATCATGCAAAGTATGTACTGCCCCCTGCTGCACACATAAATTTATATTCTTTGTAGGAGAACCATGTGCAAAAATTGGGATATTTTGAAAGAACTTTTTCCAAATAACAGAATTTATTAAAAGGTATAAGCTATTTTGAGCTGCGTGCTTAATGACTAAGGTTAGATACTGTACAATAAGGCTGGCTATCCTAATGTGCTACAGATATTCTAATCTGCTGAGGGATGAAAGAGGGATGGATGTTGTCTTCCCTGTAGTTTAACATTTATATAAATTTAATGGCTGTTGCATTTACCAAAAAAAAAGAAGAAAGAAAATTGTTTACCTTACTAAGCTCAGGGACAGACATTTGGCAATGCTGGTATATCCTAGCAATGCAAAAATCTCTTGCTTACATAGGTGGCCCTTAGGAAGAATATCAGGCCTTAGCAAAATTCTGCAGGGGCAAAAGGCTTACAATTAATTACTCCAAAACTATTTTTTTCTTTTCTTGAGAACATCAAGCTGCCATAAACATCAGTGGTGAATAGGAATAAACAAAATAGAATAACTTCCTCTCTAAAGTATGCTGAAGTAATTTTTCAAGTTTATGGAAGTTAGTAAGAACAATCTAGAGTCACTTCTGCTAAAGCCAGTAAGAGTGCAATCCTGGGTTTCTTAATATTCTAACAATAGCAAATGCATACTTTGGCCAATAAGCCCGATAAAGCTATATCAAATGCTGTATAGCACACAAATATCTATCTACAATGATTTAAAGCCCTTAAATTCTGTTCAGTGTTTTTGTAAGAAATCTTCTAGGTCCCATGCTATATTTCAGATTTATTTATTTTTTGTAAAATTTATTGGTCGCCCATCTTACCACAGAGTAACTCTGGATGGTTTATAATCTTTTAATTTGCATGTTATGGAAATGATCTCATTAGAGGTCAGAGGCCTTATATCCCCAATTCTTATTGACTCACGCTTATGTTTTCTGATGTCCATTGACACCACTAATTCCTTTTGGTGGCTTTGCCAGCTGACCTGTCTCTCTGACCTCTTTGTTCCTGTAGCTCATTACTACCTTTAAATCTAAAAAGCATGTAAAAACATGAGTAGATAAATAGTTACCGCTTTGGTTGGAACCAGTGTGGGGACGAAAGAAGGGAGCCCCTTTTCAGTGTCCTTTGGGCAATGATGACATCACCAGCTTATACTTCTTGACTTGGAAGCATCTTGGTGGTTGCTTCCAGGTCCCATTTTAGCAAGTCCTTAAGGCCACCTGGAGGTTTATCTGTGTCATCAGGGTCACCGGAGTGGTGCAAATGGGCATGTAGCCTCTTGAAACTGTTGAAAATATTTTGTTGTAGACTGGAGACAGAAGATGTCATATCTCTCCCACTCTGTTGAGGGCTGTTCAATTTTGACATAGATGGCCTCTTTGACTCCTTTTTCAACCAGCAATCCTCTGTCCAAAATATAGACTTTGCTGTCTAGTCCTAATGGGTTTGTTTTCCTAAGTTGTGCCATCCTTTATGAAGTGAATGAGAAGTGAAACGTCCTCAAAGAAAAAACAGAAAGTCCAGTTGCCTCTTGAAAAAGCACCTTTGGGATAGCCAGGACCTGGATGTTTGAGAATCTCCCATAGACATTAAATCTTGGAATGATGTCACCAGAATTTCCTTTGGTCCTTTTTATTTTTTTTTTATTTTTTCTTATTTTGCTTTGAATTGTGTTTTATTTTGTTATATTGTATTTATTTTGTTATATTATATTTTTGTTATATTTACAGATTTTAATTGGCAGTTCTATATAGTGGTTTTATTTTTTTTATATTTGCACATTTTAATTGGCATTCTGTACAGTAGTTTTATTGCCCTCACTGTGTTTGAGCCTGCATATTTGTGCTGTTTTTAAATTGTAGCTAGTTTACTGGTCATAACAAAATACAATGGAATAGGCCCACCCCACTTACTCTGACAGAAGAAAGAGCTTGCTGTAGATCCTATCGATCAAGGAATTTCAACTAGCAGGATCTTGGAGAAGAGCCTTTTACACCATGACTCCCTGCGCTCTGGAACATCTTACTGTCAGTGGTGAGATCCAATTCCACAGTTTTGACCTTTTAGAAGGGCCTTAAAATCTGGGCTTGCCAGTTGGCTTGAATAACCAGTGGGGACATGCTTTGATGGAGGTATTTGTAGAATAATAGACAAGTACCCACTCCTGTACTGGTCATTCTCCTGGTTCTTTTAGTCTTTACTTAATTGGTGTTAATGTTAATGCTTTTATATTTATAATTTTATTACATTGAAGAAATTGAAGACATTACATTGAAGTTGGAAGATGGAAGAATTGGAAGATGGGTGGCTACTTCATCCCAGTGTGATTGGCCTGCTCCATCGGCCAAGGAATTCTTGTTGGCAGAGTCCAGAAAAGATTTCTCTGCCATTTCTCCCACCCCACTCCCACTCCCACCCCCAAGATCGGCTCCCACCCTCATGACCTTTTGCAAGAGCTTAAATATCTGGCTCTACCAATTGGCTTGGTCCAATAGGGGAGTGTCATACTGGACGTGGCTGATAGATCTGTTGTTACTTCTACACCCATTCTCCTGCTTATCCTACTCTCTTTCTCCATCTTTTAGTTATAGATGATGAAGCATTTTTATAATATTTTATTATGTGCATGTTTCTGTAGTTTTATTCTTTTTAACATTGTGAGAGTCACCTTGTAGTGAGAGGGGTGGCAAACAAATTTAATAATAAACATGTAAAAATATAAATCGAGTAAGTAAATAAAATTATAATTTTACATGTCATATTTTAAATTTCCTTTCAAATTCTCTTGACATGCTAATATGTCAAGAGAATTTGATAAGACATTTAAAATATGACATGTAAAATGTAGATGACATGCTAATGTGCTTGCCCTCGGAAGTTGTGGGAGCTTCATCACTTGAGACTTTCAAGAAGAGATTGGACTGCCATTTGTCAGAAATGGTGTAGGGTCTCCCACTTGGGGGGGGGGGGTTGGACTAGATGACCTATAAGGTCCCTTCCAACTCTGATTATCTGTTATGTGTTATTCTGAAACCAAATTTTCAAAAAGAGTAGTGTGATTTTCCAAAATAAACATTTTTAAAAATAGAACTGAATCACATTGCTTTATATGTGCATCTTGATTATGAGCACTCTTCCCAGAACAGAAATACCATGAGTACTGTGCTCATAACAACTTCAGATACTTTTCCAATTAAATTACTGGGTGTTTTGGGGGAGTTTGATAACACTTGCATTTATAATACAATGGATCAGTATTTAGCGATCATTTATTGTTGTCCTAAAGAGACATGTCAGCATTCAATATGGAGTTTTGTGCCTCAAATTTAGCCTTCTGTTTTCAGCAGCAATTAATTCCTTCAAAGACAATCCGTCATACCCAAAATGTAAATGGAAGAAAAAAGGCATGATGGTACTTTCTAGAAGATACTTTTATTTCAGGGTTTAGTAATCTCCTTGGTGATAACTCAGGAAGCCAGACTTCTGTGGTAAGTTGAATCACATAACTCAATCTTTCTCAAACTTCAGATGCATTTGATTATAATTCTTATCTCCACCCTACTGGTTGTAAATAAGTTATAATCTTAGGGTGAATGTATGTGCATACGCTGGAAGGAAAATGAGCTGTCATTCTGAGTCCTTACCAAATAATCACTAGGTTAAAAAACAATCTGAGAATTTTATCCATAATCACTACATGGGTGGTTTTTTTTTTGGAACCAGAAACGTAGTAATAGCAATACAAAGGATAAGGGTAGACTTGGAAGGAAATTGGGAAGCTTTTTTTTGAGAGAAAATACAGCCAAGAAAAAAATTGTCTATTTTCTTTCTTGGCGCCATTCTTTGTTATACAGATAAACATTTATCAGGTGATCAGCTATTTCCCCAGGCATGTTAAAGGCAGATAAAATTCCTCTGCACTCAGTTAAATTGAATCACAGAAACACACACACACAAACACCCATAAGGGTGGTTGTATTGGCCAGTTTTCATAAAAATTGGTGGAATGGTTTCAAAGCAAAATCTTTATCTTGAAAAACTGGTTTTCACTGGGAAAGAGCCTCATGGCAAAAATGAAAACGAAAAAAGAACTTCCAAGAGTGGGCAACTTAAAGCTATCTAGATATGGTTGAATGTGGTTAATGTGAGAGGTGGTTGCAAGATGTAGTTCATACAGATATGCATGTTTTGAAACTATTAATCATATGCATGTTTGTTCTTAGGAGAAATATTGTATTCTATCTTTCCTATATTAGTTTTTTTATTATCCTTCCGGTGATGGATAAATAGAACAGATTTTAAAAAATAAAAGGGGAGAAATCTTTGCCCTGTCATCCCTCTTTGTAATAGTTACCATAGTCATCAGGATGAAGATAGAAAGTGGTGGAGGTATTTGCAGGGATAAGGGAGAAGGGGATAAGGGATAAGGGGATCAGACTGCAAAAGTCACTCATTTGGGGACAAGATGCTGCATTTCCCATTCTATTAGTAAAACAAAATTACACGGTATGAAGGAGGCTCAGTACTGGTAGAACATGGTGAGTTTTGCCCATTGCTATAGAGAATCCATGCTAGATAATTATCTCTGCATTGTACCCCCGTGAAAAAAAGTTATACCTGATTAAGGAGATGATTCAATGCAAAGCATCTGTAACTCTTTTCCAAGCTCACATGGAAGCTGTAAGAAAGTCAAGCTGTTTAATGAATAGTGGGAGATACTGTTCCTCGGTTTGAATAATGTCCAAAGCACTCCTACACATTTTCTATTATTGTAGGGCCTTGTTTTTTTATATCTAGTTATTCAAGGAAAGTTGTTTAGCTATTGAACACTTACTTTTTACATGCCTCAGTTGCAATGGTCAAAATGATACTGCACAAATCTCTACTTTTATTGTAATAAAAAATCAGCGTAACTGTTGCTTGCATAAATCCAATAAAATATACTGTATGATCACCATACACAAAATTGAAATCATGTGTCTTGAATTAACCTAAGTTCTCCAAGTCAATATGATGCACTGAATCAAGTAACTATACTGCTTGAGCAAACATGTTTTGCTAGCTAGTTCTCAATGCTATAGGAAGCCGTTAGACAGCCTAAAACTCCAATCACTAACTTCTCCAAAGGAAATTCTTAAAGAATTGAGTTGAATTGGTCAATGCCTGGAACTAACCACCTGACTGTTGTTACATTCTCAAATCCCCAAAACTTTAACCTTAAACTATGTACTGTGGACCCCACTCCATTCCTAAAAGGTCCTTAAAGGGGGTGTCCACCAGCGTACCTACTGCTGCTGTCCTTCTGTTCCCATTTATGCATACTCATTTATTATGTATGCTTATAGAACTAATAATAAACCATATTAGGAAGTAACCAACCACATTTTGCCTAGCATAACAACCAAGCAGTTGGGCGTACATAAGCGCACCAATGTGTCTACCATCCCTGTCCTATTGTTTCTTTTTATTTTTCTTATATGTATCCATTTCATGTATTCATAACTGTTTATACTTATACCTGTTATCTTATAGTCGCTTGCTAAAGAAAGGAAAGAAAGAAAGAAAGAAAGAAAGACACTCTGGAGCGCTTTCTTCCACGAAGACTAGCAAAATCGGGATCCAAAAATCCAGACGACCGCTAGACGACAGCAACGAGATGCACAGACCACAATCTCCACCCTGTTCTCTAGGGATCGTATTAAATTTTGAAGCCGGATATAGTAGCCCGAAACTAATCCTCATACATGCCATAAGGGAGGGAGGGCAGGCTCATGAAAGAATGTGAGGGTGGGCAGTTGGAGGGTTCCTACATTCGAGGTATTTTCAGGGATATTTGTGCATTATGGTTGCCTACATGGGAACTGTGGGACTTTTGTCCTGGCACGGCTCCGGGCACAACTGCCCTTCCTTACTCGGATCGGCATTTGCTGCGATCCTACAAGGCAAAGAACGGCGCTATGAATGTCACGTCTCGTAGTTAGCCAATGAGAGGGGGCTTGAAAGACGGTTGGCGCCAATTCCAGCGGTTAAGTCTCATGAGTGGCCAATAAGCGGGGTCCTAGAGCCGCGGCGGGGGTGGGTAGGCGGGGCGGGCCAGATCGAGCCTCATTCCTTGCACAGGCACTAGAAAGCTGTGCAGCAGCAGCCGCCATTTCCCTCGCCCCTTGCGGTGACGGCGCGGCGGCATCAGCACTGACGTGAGGCGACGCGCGGGCTCGGCCGGCCCAATCCCTCTTCCCCGCCTGCTTTTCCTGTGACGGGGGCGCCACGTACTCTGGTGAATCGAGGAGGGGGCGGAGACACGCCGGGTTTGTTTGTGTGTGTGTTTGCAAGGCGGTCTGGCGTTTGGAGGCAGCGGCGTAGGGCTGGCTCTTGGCAGGAGGCTAGGCGGGTGCCGAGGACTCGAAGAAGGAAGGGAGGGGCAGCCGGCCGAGGAGTCGGGGGCTGTTTAAACTGGGGGGTCGCAATTCGCTTTAATGTTGGAGCTTAATTCGATCTGCGTACTCTTTGCCGAAGGGAAAACTTTGTCGAGTCTAGAGGGATTTGCGCATGTGCAAAGGGTTTTATTTCCCCCCCCCTCATTCACGAGTTTAGCTTTGTGGAACCTGCTGCTCATCCGCAGCGACAATTGCCACATTTAGAGACTGAGTTTCATGGAATTAGGGTATTTAAAAAGCATAGTGCACTTTCGTATTCTGTTTGCTTGCGTGCTTAGTCTACCTTAATCCTGCATCGACATGTGCAGGTTGCAGCGCAATATTGTCCTCATTCTGAAACTGGTGGCTTCCAAGCTGGTGAACAATTCCTAACTTCCCCCAATTAATGCTGGCCGAACTGACAAACTTCCTGATCTTTGAGGCCGATATACTGCATGGGGAGAGGGGGCGAGGATCTTGGCCAAGGTGGGGAGGACTGAATACATGCCTGTCCCTGTCGAAGCAACTCACTGAGTATGTTTGAGGCTATAAATTCCCTGTTAAATTCGCCTGTCTCATACTAATTGTTGCAATGATATAGTGAAGTATGTGATATGCACATTGCCTTGAATTCCTTGAGAAAAGATGAAAAGTAATCTCAATAAATAATAGCTAGCCAGAAGATCCACCATATTTGGAGAACAATAAACAAACAAACAAAGCCACAAATAAACAATTTGACTACTGGGTTGTGAAAAATAGCACAAAATCAGCTTTAATTTGCCCTCTTCAGTTGTATTAAACCATCTCATTGTGTAACTTGATTTTGATTAGAGAGAGCATGATCTAAACAACTCTGATCACTGTAGTTTTTATGATTAAATTCTAAAATTACTTTAAAAGAAAGGATATAAAAATGCTCCATTCTCGAAAGTACTGCATTGTTGGAAGAATAAAGCATGTATTAACATGACAGTTAATAAATATGTTACCATTGTTTTGTACAAATTATTTGTTTTATTTTCAAGAAATGATGTGATACAACCAAATGCACTTCTCTCCTTATTAATGCTACATAATTAAACCATAGTTTAATGTATTTAACTTACTATGACAATTTGTTTTCAATTCTGTATGAATGTTTCATATATAAACTGAAGAAGCAACCAAGGAACATAGGCAAGAAGTAAAGCTGGAGGAAGGAAGTTGTAAAAAGAGCAACTACTTTCTGTACAGATTTTGAAATAATTGAGAAGGGTTTCCCTGTTAAAAAGGTGTGATAATCCAACAAAGCAAAAATCAGTTGTAGCTATCATACACCTACATGCTGAACTAATTTCATTGCAGACCACATTTGGTAGGCTTCTGCCCATGTTTGTAATAATTTTGAGTTTCAATCAAGGTGATTAAAAGTGTCCTTTTTCAGAATTATATTTCAATATTTGCTTTTTTATATTGTGCTTATCAACTTGCTCTGTTTTCACCTCCTGCATCTTTGACCCCTTAGCAGATGATATAATACAATGTTCAGTAAAATTAAGCTGCTAAAATGGGAGAAGTAGCTTCTTAGTCTGCTTTTTCTTTGGAATTTTTGAATGCAAATTTAAGTAACATTATACTAGGAGAAAAGTTACAGTTGCATAGTTTTAAGACTTCCTGGCCCAATACAGAATTACAGAAGTCCCTGGCAGAAGAAAGATCTCAAAATACGAAGAAAAAGAATTATAAATTCAGAAGCTCTTCATGGAAAATGGTCTTTTTAAACGAATAGAAAAATTGGAGAATGATTTCTTTGGCTGAAACAGACAGGTGAAAATACTTCGTTGCAGGATATATGCTTGCAACTGACCCATCTATTTAATAGTGTTAGTTAGGGTGGGGTTACAAATAAGAAACATAAACAATAGACAGCCAAAAATACACAAAGGATTCACAGACTAACCAAAACAGAATAAAGTTAAATTAATCAAACTAAATTGCAACTTCCAGAAAACAATGTGGGAGCCAACCTGATGTCGACTGGGATGCTATTCCAAAAAACTGGTGCCGCTCAAAAGTAGTTGTTTTAGTATGATTAAATTGTAAACGTATTAGTTTTATTTACTAGCAATAGTATCCATACATAATTTAGCAAGTCTGTTGAATCATAAATGATCCTATTCTATTTTCAGGCATGACAATACTTTCTATAAAAGATAAAATTGTATGTAGATTTCTACTGGCAACATTTTTCCTTCCCAGTTGAGGAATTGTATATTTTGAAAATAAAAATTCATTTCTAAGTTTAAGGATCCGCTTTATATTAAAATACTTCTAACCTTTGCACGGGCATGTTGGAATCTAAGATCAGCACTGAACTTCACTGAAGTTCCATAGGTTGGTCTGTTGATTCTGCATGTACCTGTGGCAAATGAGCATGCAATATTTACCAAATATGCAAAAAGCTTTGGTGGTCAAACCACTGAAATTGTTGCGTTGCAAGCATTTCCCAAAAGGCTTCAGATAATGTTTTCATAAAAGTAGCTTTTTAAAAAGTTTTTTCATTTTTTTTCTCCTCATTTCAAAGAGTTTTCTATAACACTTACAAAATCTCTTGCATTAGCACTAAAATGATTCTCTTTTATTCCTATCCTTTTCCTTTTTAAAGGGAACCCTAAATACTATGTAATACTGTGAATTGGGTTGCCATAGCAATAGTTATGACATCACAAACAGAACATAACTTCATTGTAAGATTCACTAGAAGAGCGTGGTCTGGAGAAGGAAGAAGTCCTTTAAAAAAAAAAAAAAATCAATCATGAGCAAATGTAGCAAAAAACAGCATGCCAGAATTAATATAAGGTAGCCATTATATTTTTAGCTATCACTAGAAGATGCTTCTGCATAGCAGGCTTGTGTCCTGTATTACAGTAATAGTTTCAATAAAGGGAATGCAGCCAAGCATTTGTTACCAATCTCATTAGAGAAGTGTATGTGAATGTGGGTATGTGTGTTAACTCAAGTGTTTTAAATTTGGCTTAGTTTTAGCAATACATTATGTTCTGACTTAAGCAGTTATTTTTAATCTTGGGAGTTGGGATTTTTTTGGGAGATGCTGAATAAATCATAACAGCATGGAACTGTATATTCAGAATACATTTATCTAGCTCTACAAGTATCAAGAAGGGATCAACTCTACCATTCTAATAGAATGCATTTCAATATAAAGGCCTTACACACACAAAAACCATGTCTATTTTTGAACAGGGAGGAGTGAAATGGATTCCATAATATATCAAGCATTTTTTCATATATAAAATTGAGCCTCACTGTATTAAGTAATTTGTAATTACTTAATGTCTATTAAGTAAACAAATAAAACTTTTATAGATTGAAAATAAAAATGCTTGAGATTTTGAGAAATAGGAGTAAAACTTATGGACAAACTTATATCCTAAGTTGTCAATTCCTACAACTCCACAGCCAATTTAGTAATTGACTATGCTGACTGGGAATTATGGGAGTCAAAAGACCAGCACATCTGGAGTATGGCTGCGTTAGATGCTACATTTGACTTGTAACATGTGGAGGTAAGCTTCAACCGTATTTTTAAAAAAAACCAGGGTGGGGTGAAATATTATTAACAGTTGTTAACAAAGATGAAGCCCATATGAAGTTCTAATATGTGAGAATTACTAAAATGAAGACTATGAGAAACAAAGGGGAATGTTTTGGAGTACAACTTAAAACAATGCTGGAGAAAATCAAGTGAATACGTATCATTTGAGTGGTCTATGCATATGTATTATTCCCAGAATCATAAATTATACTAATTTTTTGTGAATGAAATATCTGTCTTTGGCTGAAAGTACTATATTAATTATTCAAATATTCTTTAGTTGGTGTCTAACTATAGCATTCTGCAGTGATTTTTATCATTATGGACTTTAGCTATTTTCTATAACTTGACTGAAAGTGTTTTTTTTCTATAACTTTAGGAAATGTTTTAGTTTTTAGGAAACTAAAATATATAACCACCTTGGAAAGTAATATCAAACATGCCAGGAGTATAAACCAAGCACAGAATGTAAATAAAAATTAAAAAATTAAATGGATATGGTCAAACAGCTAAACTTCCTTGTTCTATTTGATTCCAAGAAATAACAATACTTTTTATTTTTGGTTCCACATCTGTTAAGTTTGAAAATACATTGTAGTGATAAGTTACTCTCTCATTCTCAGCCAAGCCTTCTATATTAGCTGATGTTCCCTCTATAAATTATGTTCTCCCAGAAATAAATGTTTGCTGCCAAAGTTTGTATTGTTTCTAAATAACAAACCATTGATACAATGAATACAATAAAAAGCAATAATAGGATCTTGCAGGCAGCAATATTCAAAATGCAACTAATTCATATCTGCAATATTTAAGGTATAATTTTGTAATTATACAAACTTTTTTTAAAAAAAGTCTAAATGTGCAATGTAACATTTGCAGGAAATTTTTAATACTTGGCAAAAGAGGGAACTTAATTGGTAGCAAAAAACAAAATTATTGCATAAATTAAAATGAAGCTTCGATGAACAACTATAAAAATGTGAAGAAATTGTGCTGTATCTCTAAGAATATATATCTGCCTTACTTATAAGATTGTGCCTGGAAGATGTTTTTTTCTGGGTAAGAAAAATAAGGTCTCAGTTTTCTGCAAAGTTTAAGTCACCTTTAATCTCCAGATGTGATAGATGCAACTCCCATATTTCTCTGCCTAAATGCTTGATTGAGATTCCCATAATCCACAGCTGTTATGTTCAGTGCTTATTGAAACTATAGTTCAACATAAAACGTTAAGGCAAGTTATCTGGACACATCCATGGAATTAGTTGACGCTTGTATTCATGCACCTTTATAAGTTACACAGTTACTGAAGTATATTTTATGTAACAGAATTTGAAATAAACAAATGAACAAAAGTGTTATTGAATATTTCATATCTTAACCTGTTTTTCCCCTCTCTCTTGCCTTTAGACAAATGACCATGGAAACAGTTGAACCACAAGATGGCAGTGCAACAGACTCTGTTACAGAAAGTGATTCTGCTAATCTGCAATCTCAAATCGGCCAAAATCAGATCTCCACTATAGCTCAAGTAATATGAAATGTTCTGTTTACTTTTTAACATTATTATGCAATTGTTGGAAGAAATATCCTTCTGGGTTCAGTTTCAGGTGGGGAAAAGACACTGGATTCATGGAAGTTGCTTGGAAAGAAGGTTTAATGGTGGACAGGACCACATGCCTTGGAGCTCCTGGGCGAAAGGGGCAGAGAGGCTGAGAATCCTTTGGTTTTACACCCTCTGTTGGACCCCACCTTAGTGTTTCCTTTTCCTGTTTACGAAATATATCCCATTGGCTGTCAGACTCCCAGGGGCGGGGGTCTTATCTAACTTTGTCGACTTTGTCTGGATCACATGGCTTCACCTGAGTGCTGGCAGGTGCATTCTTCCCAGGTGCCATGCGGTGAGATGGGTAATCCTATCATTTCCTGAGGGCCATGTCTTAATCCCATCACCCGGGGGGGGGGGGGGGGGGGGGGCAGGGAGCTGCAGAAAGCTGCTTTGTCTTTAAAACATGTTTCTCCTTTTCTCATCCAGGGAAATATAATATTCTGCCTTTTTAATATTTCCTAGAATATTTCATTCTTCTAGGAGAGGGGTGGGTGCTAACTTTCTACATATTGATAATATGAAGAGTAATATTAAATTATTGCTAAGTTGGTATTTAGATACGTCAATTTTTCTCAGTATATTTACTGAATAGTACTAGTCATTTTTAAAAGCAGAGATTCTTATAAAACATAAAGAATCTTACAAAGTTTTAAACAGCCTGAGAATAAGACTGGTCTGCATAACTTTTATCTGAGAAAGGACCATAGTGATGAATTAAAAATCTTCCTAAAATGCAAAGAAATACTTGGGGCACAAATCAGCTGTTTGGTGGAGGGCAAAGGGGTAGCAGCACAAGAGCTAGAAGCGATGTTGAGACCCTGAGGTGTTAGACATGCTTGGTAGCTTGTTTTCCAGGGCAAGAGCAAGTGTATTGATTTTGAAAACTGCCAATGGGCCACCTAAAGCTGTTTGTTGAAGTGCATGTTGTACAGGCATGGATGAGTTTTCTTCCACATATAATTAATTAACCTGGTATGAAGCCACCTTTGGAGGCTCTTGGTAGTAAAGCAGTTGCCTACAAAGGCAGGAGTCTCCTTAGTTATGACACTTTGCTTACAGAAATCCTTCCTTATGGGGATAAATTTCCTTCTCCCAATTCAGTTCATGCCATTCTTTACTCATGTCATGTTTAAGGGTCAGCTCCTGCACACATGCTTCTTTTTCAGTTGTTAAAACACTTCATTTTTCCTTGCAACGAAGTGTCAGTGAACATGTAGCTGGGCACAGTTTCTAAAGCAGCAGTGTAGTAAGACCCAAAGATATTTTGTCCTTTAAACATTAAGGGATCAGAAAATGATTTGCAATTTGTGCCTCCTTTGGACACAGATTTATTTTAATTCTAGCAGCCTCAAAATACATGTTTAAATCTTAATGAAAGAGAAAGGAGGGAGATAAAAGTGTATGTCTTAGAGACGGGTTCTAAACTTTTAAACATGATGGCATATTAAATTACAAGAAAGGGGCATTCTTATGTGCTGCTATCAAGTATATCTAGCGGATGTTAAAAATGAAATAGGGGCTATTGACATATTGAGCTGTCAATTGTTTGATAAGCTTTGACAATATTCAGATATAATTATTATCATGCAACTCTAAAGTATTGCTAAGACAATCATAATACATTATTAATACTAATAAATATTAAAATAGAAAAATAAACCCCTATTTCAAAGTGGAATTAAAGTGAGAAGCTCATGATTGTTTTGCCAAGTTGTTAGTTCTCAGCCTTCTGTTCATTAAAATTGATCTTAAAATACAATCTTGCAATGTTTTGATGCAGAAGAATAACACTACAGTAATTTTGTAAAAATACATAATATAGCTGAGTTACAAAAACAGTTATATTTTGGGCAAAATTCTACCCCATCACATATTATGTGAGACTGCATTTTCTTTTGACTGAAGGAAAGAGGTTACTTTTTAACTATAGCATCTCTGATAACAATGCTTAATGAATAATGCTCATAATAGGAAAGCAGAAGTAGCACCCAAACAATATTTCACCAGCCCTTTGATATCATAATTGCCACTAGAAGCCAAAATATATATTTTGTATTATAAAACAGTGTAATACAGCCTTTTGTGTGTTAAAGGTGGAAGCCTAACTGAAGCCTAAGGATTACTTTTGTCAGATAATGAACATTGAGAGCTAGCTACTTAAGCTCTTTTCACAGTATGCTTTATTTACCTCAATAGGTTTCTGTAGCAGGATCAGCAACTGGAAGAGGATCTCCCTCTGTAACCGTAGTGCAGTTTCCTTCTGGTCAAACTGTCCACGTACAGGGAGTGATTCAAGCCACACAGTCTTCGGTTATTCAATCGCCGCAGTTGCAATCTGTTCAGGTTAGTTGTGTTGTCTTTATTTACTTTTCCTTGGTTTCCTGGAGAGAGTGAATACAAGATCCTATATTTAATGCCAAGGGATACTCTACTTATTTCTCTAGTTGCCAACATAATAGTAATGGGTGTACTTTTTTTTTTTAAATTTGCCATTCTTTGACCCTAAACATTTTGTTTCTAGCTCAAAGAAGTGCTTTGAGCTCAAAAGAGGCCAATTTCAGGTTTCAAACATCTGCTTCAAAACATATATAGGATATGTTTTGAATTTAGAATGGTGTTATTCAAAGCATTTTTCATGCCTTGATATGATGCTTCAGGTTCCTTTTTAAAAATATGATAGCTGCAAATCAGAGTATTAGCTAGTTCCCTTTCCATCTTTTTTCCCTACAGGGACAGGATTTTATTAATATTTTAAATAATCCATATCTAATTGAACAAACTACAGAAAATAAAGTGTTCATATAAATATTTGATGAAATTGTCAAAAAGCATTCAGTTTTGCTTTCTTATAAAACATGTTTCAGTTCTGGTTCAAGACAGATGTTCAGCACCTGAAGGACAGTTAGTAAACACTGTAATAAGTACTTTTGATGTCAACATTTCTTCATAGTATCCCTCACTCACCATTAGTCCTTAACTTACGACACCAAAATTGGGTAAACGTTTCCCAAAATCTCACATGCATTCTTTAGTGTAGCCAGGGATTGCATTATTGCTAATACTAAATCACAGTTAAATTATGAATGCTGACATTAAAAGCTAGGATATAAATAGACCAAGTGTGGGATGAGAATTGCAAAAATGAGAGAGAAATATTTGGAGGACAGGAAGTTGGATAGGTATCTATAGAGAGAAGAGAATGATAAGGAAAAGCAGTGTTTCAACTAAAATTGTTCTTGTCCTATACAGTTCTTGTCCTATACATTGACTCCACAAAAGCTACTTAGGATCTGGTTTTGAAATTACAGTCGCTGCAACACCACTGTGGTCATTTGCCTTTAAGACCAAGATGCTGAAGAGCTCTGCTCCACCTGTTGCAAAATCTCCCCCCACCCCATCCTATCCCTTGGAGTCCCTACAAGCCTTGGGCCTACTTCCCACATGTTCTTTCCCATCCCTGCCACTGATCACTCATTTATCTTTTACCATAGATTTTCTTTTGGAAGTTCTGGAGCTCAGGTTGGGGAAGTAGATGCTATGTCCCCCTGTGTCTGTAGGCAGCATGCTTGTGTTCCCGAAGCAATTACTGTTTTCAGAGTGGCCACAGTGAATTTTGGCTGCTCCAAAATAGTGCTCCTTTCTAGAACAGAGGAATGTGGTCTAGGGATGGAGCAATTTGATCTTCTCAGCATTTGTAAGTCTGCCGCTTAGCAAGCGGAGTTGGGTGCGCTTGCCTTCATTGCACTGAAGCCTGCTGCTTGCAAATCTGCTGTATGGGAGGAGGGTTGTTATGAGGCCACTTCACTAACAGCTGTCAAAACTTTTAGCCATAATGAGGCAGCGTCCATTACAATCACTGGTCAAGGACTACCTGTAATTTATTACTTTCTGTGTTCTTTTAATTTCTCTCTAGCACGGGATATCAAACTCATGTTATCACGATACATCACATGATGTATCAGAACTTTTCCCCATTTGCTAAACCGGGCATGACCATGGGCCGGGATTTTGACAGCCCTGCTCTAGCAACTACCATTGGATGGTGGAATTAATGTAATCTTGAATTTGTACCTTTTTTTGTAATCCTATTTCATGCCTAGCTATTAATAATCCTGCTGTCTTGGTTAGATGTCTATAGTCAGGTTTGACATAGTAAGTCAAAATGGGGCTTACTCATTCGTTTTGTTATTGTGAATTAGGCCATTGTTAGTACAATTGATAACAATGGTTTCTTTCATGGGATTGGTTTATTTTCAATCCTGAGTCAAAACCAAACTGGTTGGGGTGTGTCTGTATATGTGTGTGTGTATGTGTGTTTGTATATGTTTGAGTGCATGCTCATGATGCATTAATTAGGCCTATTTACATCTACTTCAAAATTTAACTTCTAAAACTTTTCTGACATTGATTATGTTTTATCTCCCTCTCTTTTCCTTTGCTTTCCTGTTCCACTCTATTCAATCTTTTCTATTGGTCCCCCTCCTTCTCTCCCTCTCCTTCCCTCTCCCCCTCTCTCTCCCTCCATAGAAAAAGTTGATACAGTTCTTAAAATAGGTGGAATGTTTTCTTGCTCTCATAGCAAGAATATAGAAGAATTGTGGACAGAACTGTGAATGAGATTTTAAACAAGTCAAGCATATAATCAGTTCCTGAATATGTTCTTCAAAACTACTGCATCAAAACTACTATATAAGAGTCTGTTAAATTTTCAAAATAGTGTTATATTAATCAAAGGTTGTTTGTATCCAGTGGGATAGAAATGGAACAAGTAAATTCCATGTAATAGATCATTAATATTAGATCTTACAATAGAAATCAGGATTCCATACAGGGAAAATGTTCTGATTATTGCACAGAGTTTCAGGCAACAAACTTTCTAGAATTGCAGCTTACTAAATTTTTGTTTTAAAAAACTAGGTAGCGCCAGCTACAAATGCAGATGAATCTACAGACTCCGAGGTTGTAATTGATTCTCAGAAGCGGAGGGAGATACTTTCAAGGAGACCTTCGTATCGGTAAGCTCTGCCCTAATGCAAAAGTTTTTGTTTATTTACACTAGTTCACTGTTCCATGGCACAGGTCAGTATTTTAAAAAATATTTCTTTAAATATTTATTTGTGGCAGAAAAATTCTGAATGAGCTTTCTTCTGATGCACCTGGCGTTGCTAAGATTGAAGAAGGAAAACCAGAGGAAGAAGGAGCACCCTCTGGAATCCCTGCCATGGCCGTGCCAACAAGCCTTTATCAGACTAGCACCGGGCAGTACAGTAGGTCTTCTGTAATATTAGGCTACCTGTTTAATCTATTGTTCTTAAAAGGAAAATTTGTAATTTTGAAAAACAATAAAATTAAGTGATAGTTGATAGCAGGAATAATAAGAACTGATAACAGTTCTTTTAAGCCATGGAACCTGGATGCAGCTTTCCTTGTTATGGTTTATTTTAATAATCTCGTATATAGGTTATTATTTAAATAGAAATGTCTTTAATATACATATATTCATATGAGGTTTTTTTCATGTTTTACTGATGTTCCTTCATGCATTTAGTTTTAGAACCTTTGGTCAGAGGCTATGGAACCTAAGATATATCTGTGTAAGGTATCTTCCATAAAGACACATTTTTGACAGCCTTTTATTTGTGATTAAAACATAATCCCAAACAGGCTATAGGCCCTTGTTTTTTAAACGAAGCAACTTTTAAAATGTATGAACTTCTACTTGCAGAATTCATACTGGCTGGGGAATTCTGGGAGTAGACATCCACACATCTTAAAAGTTTCCAAACATGGCAAGTTTGCCTAATGCTGAACTATGTAGGATATAAATATTATGCAATTGAATGTGCATTTGGAAAAACTGATCCAGTTTAAACACCATGTTCTGGCTGTTGGTTCTTTCTGTGAATGTCTATAGAGTGTCCCTCAGCATTTCCTATCATAAATAATATCATGTTTGTTACAAGGTATTTCACAACTTATGACTACAGTTGGGATTGGAACTTCGATCCTTAAGGGAGGTGATTATTAAGTGAATCACACCTGATTTTACAACCTTTTTTTTCCTCTAATCATTAAACAAATCATTGCAGTTGTTAAGTGAACCATATGGTCATTAAGTGAACCCTGTTACAGCTTCCATCTGCAATTGACTTAGTTTATTGGAAGCTGGTTGCAAATGGTGATTAAATGACCTCGGGACACTGCAACTGTTGTAAATACATGCTGGTTGCAAATCATTCAAATTTTAATTGCGTAGACCACTTGCAAGTCACTTTTCCCCCATAGTGCTGTAACCTTGAATGGCCATTAAGTGAATGTTTACAAGTTGAGGAATACCTGTATACTTTGCATAAGAAATATTACTAGTAGTTACACATAGTTTAAACAGGGCATATGTTAATAAACAGTGAGTTAAAACAAAAAGAATAGGTAGGGTGGAAGGGAAGGAAACTGGCCTTCCCCAGAATATTTGCTCTAAATATCAGGATCTTATAGAGCAATATGGCAAGTGAGTCTAAATAGTGTCTCTCTTCTTCTCTCCTGTCAGTGGCTATTGCTGTTGTATATATATGGAAAAACAAATTTCTCTAGTTCCTATTAACTGATTTTCAAATTTTCTATTTGATGCTTGATTTACTTAAAATAAAACCTAATTGTAAAAAAAATGCAAAAAAATGTGAATCAGTCAGAGCTGTGTTGCCCCCAATAATAGACATTCTGAGTCAGTTTTGGAGACTGGTGTGTGTGTGTGTGTGTGTGTGTGTGTGTGTGTGTGTGTTTGTATCCAGTTTCATACTGTATATTGATCATATTATCCTGCCCTTAAATACTCTTTGAGAGCAACTAAATTAAAGTATTTTCATCTCTATTGCTGATGTTTTACATAGTATTTATTTTTGATTAAGTTGCTATAGCCCAAGGTGGAACCATCCAAATCTCTAATCCAGCATCTGACAGTGTTCAAGGATTACAGACATTAACTATGACAAATTCAGGAGCTCCTCAACCTGGTGCTACGATTGTACAATATGCAGCTCAAACACCTGATGGCACTCAACAATTCTTCGTACCTGGGAGTCAGGTTGTTGTCCAAGGTAAAGTGTTCATTTTTTATTAAACAGATAACTATGTTTGTTTTAAACTTCTATTACTTGCTTCTCTATTTAAAGAAATTTTTAACTGGCGTTATTTTTCCCTTTTTTTGGTTGTTTTTTTAGATCTTAAAGTCTCCATTTTCTTTCCCTCCTTTCCCCTTTCTTCCCCAAGTACTTGTTCATTAAAGATGGCTTCTTCTTTGTCCCAATCTTCTTGGTGCGCAGTCTTTTCTTGTAGTTTCTCATAAGTACAGATCGCCATTTCTAAGAATTGAAAGACAGAGCCAAGAGAGCCCTTCCCTTCTTGTTCCTCTTCTTTGTATTTTTTAAATTCCATTTTGAGTTCATCCACAAGTGATGCCATTGTAAAAAAAATTTTTTTTTTCAAACAAACACCCAAGTATTTTAGTCATTCAAATATAATTCCAAAAGTCCCAAAATCACCAAGCAATCCAAATACACACAAGCTGTTTCTTTTAACACTTTCTTCTTTTTTCACTTTCTCTTCCTGGGGTTACTGTTTAGTTACAAAGTTCCAATTAAAATGTATCTTTTAGAAGTCTTGTTAGTATTTAATCAGATTCTTTTAAATTCTAGGCAGTCTCCTCCTTCCAAATCTTACTCTTATTCTTTTCCTCTCCCTTCCTACTTACAGCAAAAAAAAAAAAAAAAAGGTTTTTTTAGTGTTCAGAAATCCTTATTGTCCCCTTGACATTTAATTATCCAGTTTAATTACCTATTGATGCCGAAGCGTGTATTTCTGATTTCTCATTCATCTGTGCTCGCTATCAACGTTAGGAAGTAGAGTGAAAAAAAAAACCTTTCCCTTTTCACTTTCATTCGCTGCTTCTGAATCTTCCTTGGGAGCGATGTATCTTTTTTTAAAATTTGAATTCCAGGATACCTTAGTTGTTGCTTCTTATCCCGGTCAGCCAAAACTTTCACTTCTTAACTTCCTCCTGCACTTTCTTTTCCGGACGAGTGCTTCTTTGAGGTGGCCATTTCTGACCGCCGCTCTTACCGCCTTCGGGAAAGGGAGTTTAGCTAGCTGGGGAGGAAAGATGCAGCTTTCATCGACCCTGCTGGTATCTCCCCCATCTTTGCCACCTCTACAGGGTGGCTTAGCCCCAAAGCCAACTGGCTTGGGACGCTCCAGCAGCGAGCCCAGGCAGAAACCGTGCACGATCGCGGATTCCTGCCTGCCGCCGAAGCCCTGCAAACCGGAAGGTGAAGTGAATATAATGGAAGTGAATATAATGTTAGAAAGCAACAGAAAAGGGGAACACAGAAGAGGGGAAATGGAGGTGGAGAGACAAGGGGGTAAAAAGGGCAGAGAGAAGAAGCAAGGGAGGAAGGAAGGGAAGAGAAGCTACAAAGGTGTGGAGCAAGTTGTAAAGAAACAGGACTTCTTTAGAGATAATGGGTAAAAACTTAACTGAAAAAGTGATTCTGCAAAGGTACATAAGATTGTATTGTTGGAGACTTCCGGTTGTCGGCTTTGCTAACAGCAGGGATTCGCCTTCTCTGCGATTCCTGCTGTGCTAGCCGCCTTGGTGCCTCCGATCCTGACTGATTTGGAGGCTAAGGCTGCCCTTTGGGGCAGCTGAAGAGAGGGGGGATCCGGACGGGGGTGAGGGGCATCGCAACCCCCCCCCAGCCGGCAATAACCCCCTTTTCTCAAGACGGTTCCAGCGGTGGTCTTTTATGGCCACCATAAAGAAGCCGGCAATTGGATAATAAAGAATGCGCAGGAGGGAGAAGGAGTTTTCTTTCTTTTTTTTTTTTAAGAAAGTTTTTTCTTGGTCGAACTGGGACCTTAAGGATATATTTATCACCTGGGAAAGTAATGACTTGGAAGCTATTGTTCCCGATTGATGTTTTTAGCTGCGAAGAAAAGTGACGAACAGGGGAAGTTACTCTCCCTCCCTTATGGAATTAACAAATGGAAAAGGGAAACCAGCCTTTTGGTAGAAGGTAAAACCTAAACTCCTTTGTTATACGTGGGAAAGGAGAGGCTTGAGAAAATCAATTTTTACTCTAAGACTTTGCTGGAGGAGATGCCTTGAAGATAAAGAGAATTTTCTTTCCCTAATTTGACTTCACCCCTAGAAGAGAAACTGTAAAAAGAAGAAGCTTTTACTCTGCCTGGACTGTCTGATGACTGTGGGACTTTGGGACGTTTGGGAACTGTTTTAAGCCTTGAAATAACTGATTGGTTTAAGAAGAGGATACAGAAAGAGAAGAAGAAACTTTAAAATGGCTCTATCTCTTGATGAACTAAAAAAACAATATCTAAAAACAAAGAAAGAAGGCAAAGATGTTATGGGAGAAGCCCTTTGTTTCCTAGATATGGCGCTTGCTATGTGTCAGCAAATTAAACAACAGCTTGAAGAAATTGAGGAAGAAGAAGCCATTTTTAATGAACTAAACGGCGTGACTAAGAAAGAAAGGAGAAAGAGAGGAGCGAAAAGGAAGGACTTAAGAAATAAAAAAATATTTATGAAAGAGAAAAAGAAGATGCAAAAACAACAGAATGCTAGAAAGCAAAAGGAAAGAGGAATGCAGAAAGGGGAAATTAAGAAGACAGAGGTTTTGAGAGGAGGGGGTAAAAAGTTTAGGCGGGCTAAGAAGGAAAGGGAAAAGGGGGAAAAAAGTTTCAAAGATATAAGACAAGATGGAGATAAAGAATTTTTTTTCAGGGATAATGGGTAATATATGGGTTTTTTTTAAAAAAAAGGGGGGGATTCTGCAAAGTACACATGAGTATTGTAATAGTGGTATTTGTATTATAAGTAGATAACCAGAACTTTTTAAGATCTAATAAAAGGCTAAAATATCAAGGTATAACTTTAAAAGGTTTAATAATGAATGATAATAAGTTTTAATAAAATACTAAAGGGAATGTTTAAAATATTAGTTTGAATATAGAGTTTAATGGATTGATGTGTTGATTGTTATGGATTTATTATTGTAGTATTGGTTTTTGAAATAGTAGAATGTACTAAGCAGAATCTGATTGGGATTTAGGTGTTATTTTAAATTTTAACTTAGGGGAATGATAGAAAGGCATCATACTCCGATTAGTGATTCCAGGGGAAACTATTCTTTTTTAAACTGGAAATGAGACAGATGTAAATGGAGAAATGGACAAAAGATATAAAAATATTTTTTTTTTTAAAAAAAGCAAGATTAAATATATAAAACAGAATTAAGATGAGGCAAAAGTGGAGAGGAGTTATATAATAGATATAGAATGGTAAATAAGATGGGTAATGGTATATAAGAAAAGCGTGAATACAACTGAGTCCATACAAAAAGAGGTAATCTGGGGCCAAGTTACTTTCTAGAAGAAAGTTTTATGTTTTTTATGTCTGTGTTTTATGTGTGTGTGTTTAATTAAAAGTTAAATAATAAAATCTCGGAAGAAGACTAGATGAGAATAATTATAAACAAGCCAGAGGGAAATATAAAGTTGATGACTGGATAGCAGATAAATCAGAAAGGAAATATGATTGCATAATGATTAAAGAGAAACAATGTGGAATTTGGTAAAGGGAATTTACGTGTTTATATGGAAATGGGATAAATTATAAGTATGTGATATAAAGCAATATGTTACCTGCCTTGTAAGGATCTACAATGGAAAGAGGTTTTATGTTTTAATGTTTAATGATGTTTTGTCTTGTTTGTTTGTTTGTAAAATCAATAAAACTTGTTTAAAAAAAAAAGATTGTATTGTTATATTTGTATTAGAAATAATGTTAGAAAATTGGAAACAACATATGATTAAAAAGTGGGATAAAATACTCAGTGTAATTCAGTGAAACTTTTGTGAACAAAATAAATGAAATGAAATAAATGAGAGAATTGACTTAGAAAGGAATGGGAACATTTTAATGACACAATGTTTTAAAATATAAGTGAAGTGTGTGGGGGGAAATAACTATGGAAAGTTTATAAGTGTTCCCATAGAAGTATGATACTTGTTTGAAAAGTAATGTGTAAAATGTTTAAGATTTAATAAATATTAATATTAACGATAGATTTGAATTGGTATGGATTGTTGTTTTAATTATATTATATATTTATAATTTTTTCTCTTTTTAAAATATAGTATGTAACTTTAGAATGTACTAAGCAGAATCCGAATGGAAGTTATGTATCATACTAAGTGTTATAAATTTAGGGGAAAGAGATAAAGGCGTCATACTCCAATCAGTGATTACAGGAGAAATTTTGTTTAATGAGAAAAGATAATAGACGGCTGGAAACAGGACAGACAAAGAATATAAGTATAATGATTTGAACTGAGATGAAATAAATAAAATAAAATTAAGAAAGTTAAAAGAGGGGAGAAGCTATATAGAAAATATAGAATGGGAATAAGATATGGAATGGTATATAAAATGAGCATGAATTTGAATTTGTGTCTGTACGAAGAGATGTAACCCGGGATCACGCTGCTTTCAAAAAAGATGTTTTATGTTTTTATGTTTTGTTTGTTTATGTTTGTTTTTAAAAATCAATAAAACTTTTATTTAAAAAAAAGAAATTTTTAACTGGGTTGTAATAACAACAATAAACCTACTGCAAACTGTAAAAGAGCCAGGTTGGTGTAGTGATGAAAGCGTTGGACTAGAAGTAGGAAGACCTGGTTTATAATCTGTTCTCAGCCTCAGCCTCTCACTGGGTGAGTTTGGGGCAGTCACCCTCTCTGTGCCTAACCTACTTCACAGGGTAGTTAGGAAAACTTGGAAAGAGGAATGATACCTATTCCTTGCTGAGCTTCTGAATGACGGCCTGTAAGTCTAACAAAGAAGTAACACTGCTTGGAAAAAAAATCAAATATTTAAACAAAAATAAGACTCAATGAATTAGTCACTTAGAAAATAATGCATTCTTGTTGGAAAGACACCATTATTATTATTTTTTGAACAAATTGTATTAATTTTTAAAGACATACAAAACATAAAACATAAACCTCTTTTCTGAAAGTTATT